ACACTTCCCATAAAAAAAACCGACCACCTTGTTTTTACACGAAAAAAGGACCAAATTTGGAAATGCATATTTTCTCAGCCTTTTATTCAAAGACCTTCGCTAAGTACCATTCGTTAGACAATTTTAAGCTAAATAAGATGGTTTTTTAAAAAATACTTTCCTAGGTTCAGTCAATTATCAACAAATTTAAAAAAATTGGAAACAGGTTAATTTTTGTACTTTTTACGAAAACTTCAAATTGAGCTGTAGATCTAGAAAATCGCCCTAAAGCAATGGATAGGAAATTTTAATAAGCTTCCAATAGGTCATCAACTTTGCCCGATTTCCCAACCGTTTTTGAGTTATTCGCGATTTTTGGGGGGGAAAACGTATTTTTTACGTGCTCATGGAAAAAAACCGATCTCTCTCTCTCTCTCTCTCTCACACACACACACGATTTTCAAGAATGCGTAAATTTTGAACTATCAGGTTTTCGCAATTTTTACGCTTTACATCTTTTGTACTGAGGACTTTTTCAAAAAAGTGAAGGGGGAAGCGATAATTCTTACGTAGAGCTTTTATCATTCCTCAATTTATAAAGGCAGGTAACTAAATAAAGTTACGCTTTATTGCCCATCTGGCCAAGGAATGTCAAGTTTATACACACTTAAATATTACAATTGTGTTATGTTACAATTGTGTAACTATTCATCAGGATTGGTTAAAATTAGTAATAATAATGTTTTTTATCTTTTTAACTTTTATTACGCTTCCTTAGTTAACTCCCAACAGACGGACTGTTATCCATGTCATAGAGTACTTTTGTAATACTGATCTGATTTCAATTAATTATTCTTTTTATGTAAGATATTGATTAAAATGAAAAAGTCAGTGTCACGAGCGGGATTCGAACCCACGACCTTCAGCTCAATACGCCGCTGCTCTAACCATTTGAACTATCGTGTCATCGATCCACTCGGACACCAACTCCCCATCTCAACCTACAACCTTTTCAATTTTCCCTCCTTTTTGCCATTTTTCAAATGTCGATTCCCGCCCGTGACATCAACTTTTTCATTTCAACCAATATCTTACATAAAAAGATTAATTAATTGAATGAAGTTATTTTGTCATTCGGACCACGAAATATAATAGATTTATCTGAATTTTGTATAAAAGAAAAAAATTAAAGAATATTATATCATTATATAAATATTATATAAATCCATAAATATATTTTGTAGTCGTAATTATCCGTATTAATTATTTTAAATAATTATACTTTTAATCTAAGGTTTTGGTTGAGATGGAAAATTGTCATTAGCGGGATTCGACCCACCTGGTTAGAGTAGATGCTTATTTAGCTGAAGGTCGTGGGTTCGAATCCTGCTCGTAACATCATTTTTTTCATCCCAATCAATTCTTCCTTAAAGTATATTATTAAAAAATCACGCATTTTGAATTTTTGTTAAGCAGTTATCAAGTAGCGATGATACGTGTTAAAAAGTTCGACTTTTGACAGATTTGACTTTAAATTGAGGTCACCGTGGTCCAAGTAACGTAAGTCCCTCGATCGGGGTCCCCCCGCTTCTGGTTTCCAATCCATTTGTTACCAAACTCTCGGTCGAGGAATTTCGCACAATTGGCACTGGCCGCCTATCACACAGGACCCGCATAAATCAGTGTGGAAGATATAAAACTTCAGGAAGGGTCTTTTGAAGGAAATATACCATAATAGTTTATTTAAAATAGTTATAAACATCTAAAAGACTAAAATGGCGAAATTCCTCCCTTAACCTAGCTAGATGAGGGGACGGAACCTCACTTAGCCCTAGGATTATATCGGTTTATTGAGCACAGTATGTCACCCACTTAGGGTAGTAGACCATTGAAGGATTTGACATGAAAAAACGCGCGGATCCTTGAAATGAAAAAAAGCCTTTGACCGTATGACACGATGGAATTATTTACACAGAGCTAGAGTAAAATTTCCCAAAACATATAAGCCAGAATGTTAACTATTAACTGCAATTGAGTTTTTTCATGTCACGCTTCATAACTTTCTTCAGATTTCACTACTAATGCCGGCCTACCTCAAGGGTCAATTCTGGGACCGACACTTTTTTTCATTTTAATATTCTGCTTATACCTAAATATTGCCAGCTGGCATTATACGCCATTATTGAGCTTTTCTGTTCCTCTTGGATGATTATCGAACGTTACAAATATTAATACGGAGCTTGTTTTTCAGTAGCTAGAAGCTAAAAATTAAGCCCTTGCTCTTCCATAATATTTCGCTAGGAAAGTCTATAATTTGTCAAAAAAGATAACCTACTACCTAACTACTCTCGACTCAAAATTAAATTTTGGGGCAGTTGATCTTGTGGGCAAAACGATTATATTTTTCTAAGCTCAGGAGAAAGCCTGGAATAAATTTATCCGAAAAATTACTAATATTTAAGACCGTAGTAAAACCGATATTGCTACACGCTTGCCATGGATTTTGACTAGCCAAACAAACAATAAGTTACAAGTGGTTCAAAATAAATGGTATCAGTTGGCCACTGCCTCTGGCAGAGATTTAAGGCTGGCTGAGTTGAAGGAAAGTAGAAATGAAAAAAAATGTAAATATATAACGCTTTTTATAAATGATGGTTCTACTTTTAGATTTGTTAATTACAAGCATTAAACGTTCATCAAAGAGATACAAACGCGTTTCTCTACATGAATTGTAATAGTAAGAGTCACTCTTACAATTCATGTCGAAACGTGTTTGTAAATCCTTTAACCTGATGATGAGCGTCTAATGCTTGAAATATGTGTGGTGGTTAGTAACCGTTAATCGATAATCATTCAGAAATCGTGCGATGACTCTCTGTTGAGAGAGACTCTCAATACGACACGGAAGAATGGCACAATTACACAGAAGACGAACACTTCGAGCCCTGAAGATGATCTCAATAAAGATCGAAACGTTGACACGATAAAGAAAATGTTTTTTCTGAAATCACACAAGACCGCATCTCACGATTTCTGAATAATTAGTGCTTGAAATATGGTTCGTTGTAAACAACAAATCTGCAAACAGAGCCAACATTTATAAAAAGTGAATTTACATATTCCTCCACTTTTATTATTTCTACGCTGTCAAAAAAACTTTTTAGCACTCCACGAATCTGATTTGGAGGTCCATTGGGACGTACACATCAGCTAAATGGAAAAACCGTTTCAAACTTTATTGAGATCATCTTCAGGGCTCAAAGTGTTTTTTTCTGTGTAGATGTGTCATTCTTGTCTGTCGTGTTGAGAGTGCCCTTTCAACTCTCAATTCGACAGACAAGAATGACACATCTACACGGAAAAACACACTTTGAGCCCTGAAGATAATCTCAATAAAGTTTGAAACGTTGGCACGATAAAGAAAATGTTTTCCTAAAACCTACGTCACACCAGACCGCATCTCACGATTTCTGATTAATCAGTGCTTGAAATATGATTCGTTGTAAACAACAAATCTGCGAACAAAGCCAACATTTATAAAAAGTGAATTTACATATTCCCCCACTTTTATTATTTCTACGCTGTCAAAAAAACTTTTGAGCACTCCACGAATCCGATTTGCAGGTCCATTGGGACGTACACATCGGCTAAATGGAAAAACAATCGAATTAAATTTTCTTTATCGTGCCAACGTTTCAAACTTTATTGAGATCATCTTCAGGGCTCAAAGTGTTTTTTTCTGTGTAGATGTGTCATTCTTGTCTGTCATGTTGAGAGTGCCCTTTCAACTCTCAATTCGACAGACAAGAATGACACATCTACACGGAAAAACACACTTTGAGCCCTGAAGATGATCTCAATAAAGTTCGAAACGTTGGCACGATAAAGAAAATGTTTTTGTAAAACCTACGTCACACCAGACCCCACCTCACGATCTCCGAATAATCATTGACTAACGGTCACTAATCACCAACGAATTAAACATTTCATAATCGAAATTTAATCTAGTCTAGTTAATAATTGACATTGCCTGTCATAACAATAGTTATCTATTTATTTGTTTACTTATTCAAATATATATTTAATTATTTATCTCAAATGTATTTTACTTTTTTATTTATTCATATATTAAATTAAAGTGGTCTGGTTTTTTGTATCCATTTTTTCTTCTTAAGTAATTTTTTTTCTTTTAAGTGCGACCACCTCCTTAAGAGGTTACTTAGGCTTTGAGCCTTGAACTTGGTCGTTTTTTCACCGTGTACATACCCGTCGAATTGGAGAAAAGAGTAAAATTTAATAAAAATGATGAAAATTTTCCGCAGCAGAGGAATATACCATAATATACCCTGACAGCATAAAAGTCTTGTTAATGATTTTTTTGTGATGTCAGCGATTGCTGCGGTATGGTATGCTCAATTTAAATTAAAACTGCTTATAAACTAGAACATCAACGGCCTCGAGGCAAAACCACTGAAAATGACAATCGTCCTTTTTCAAAAAGCCGGACAAACCCTTTACATATAATAACGCTCACTCCCAATAGAATCTATGATTTATTTAGGCGTGTTGTTCTCCTCTGGGAAATTTTTTCAGCCTGTTTCTTATCTTGTTACGAAGGGTCGATTCCAAGAATTTTGAACATACTGGAATCTAACAGGTCTGTTTTGTTCGAACCATAAAATGGCTCCCTTCTATTCTATTATTTCGTCTGTTCTATTATTTCGTTCAGAGATTTGGGCACTAAGCCAAACTGAATTGGAAAGGGTGTAACTCAAATTCATAAAGCAATTATTACACTTCTCGCGAAGTACTATGATATTTTTGCCAAAAACTTCTGTTAGATTGATATTAAAAAAATAGTGGTGTCACGACATGTTTGCGTATGACTAAAATAAATTATTGATAATGACTACTTCGTTCTTGACTAGTTCGTTTTTTTCTGAAAATTATAAGTAGTTTAATTTAAAAACCAACCGACACATCCAACAAGACTATGTCATTAAATATTGAACTTTTTTCAGGTCTGATTTACAACGAGTACGTGGTTTTTCGGAAGATACCGTTGGATGGGGTGGAGAAGACGTTGCCCTGTACAGAAAATACGTGAGGAGCAGTATTAAAGTAATTAGAGCGACTGATCCAGGCATATTTCACATATGGCACCATAAGGTACAGTATTATTGAAATAATTTATTAAAATACACAGACAGGCAAAAATTCCACCCAATTGATTCCTCGATAAAAGAAAATTCTGCCCTTAATTTGTCTCATTGTTTTTATCAATTAATATTTGTTTATGCTATGCTTTAAATTGTGAATTGCCGACACGAATACAGTTGGTGCTTTAGAGAGGTTGCCACGCCCTCAAGGCTGCACCATTATTTTGCGCCTGGAACCCCCACCCCTTGTAACCAAGGGTTGGGAGAGGTCGCAAGGAAGAGAGGAGGAACCCGAATTGAGAAAGGGAAGTGGTCGAGGACACGAGGTTCACTTTTTCAGGCGCCTCACGTTTTGTCCTCACTGTACCACCCATCGTCGCCGAAGGAGATGAGATGGCCGTTCAAGTGCCGAACGAGTCGGCACCATCCCGACCAGTCGTCTCGAGGGGGCGAATCCGAGACTGTGTGGCCTCGCGGATTGGAGCTGTTCATTCTCAGGTTACCATTCTCCACATTGGTACGCTCAGGGGGAGAGGTGCTCAGTCTCTCCCCGGTGGGAGACCGATATCCCCAGGATTTCACAGACTCGTCCTCTCGGGTGCCTGCTACTCGCCAGGGGCCGTCCATCCCCCACATTGGAGCTTTCAGAGGGAGAGGTGGTTAGTCTCTCTCCAATAGGTAACGGGTGTCCCCAGGACTTCACAGTCTCGACCTTTCGGGTGCCTGCTACTCCCCAGAGATCATCCCGTCCCAGATGATATTTGCTACTGTTGGTCGGGCAACGCTATCCATCGCAGGCGAATCTTTTCAAGTCGCACCCGCTCCTCCACCACAGCGCAACCGCCCCAGTCAGTATTTGCTACTTCACTGAATGAACAGTTGCGATCCTCTTTTTATTCAGCCTCCGAAGAGACCCTGAAAGGGGCGCCACAAGTAGGCAAGAGGTCGCGGAAACGGGATAGGTTATTTGTTGCACTTCACCGTTCCTCATCCCCACCCCGTATGCATTCGAGGGACTCCGTAGGTATAGTCTCAACGTCCTCGACGCTATACGCTTCGGCGGTCCGACCCTTCTTTTCCCGCGAGGCCAGGGGTGAATACGAAGATCATACGCAGTAGGTGGTAACTGCGAGAATCAGTTAAACGTTTTCTAGAAACTGGGTCCTGCCATAGAAGGCCCGGTTCTTGACGCCCTACGGTAACAGGCCCGCAGGATGACCGTTTACTGGCTGAGAATTTTGTTCAAGCAAGTCAACAGCTCCAGGAAGTTTGAGGTGTCTTAATCTCTGAACGCACTGCTCGAAGAAGATTAAATCAGTATGGACTGATGGCTTTTCCCTCTACTGATATGCCCAGAAGTGACCAGAACACGCAGAGTGCTCGCGTTTACTGGAGAACACAGCCATTGGTCACTGGACAATTGGTCAGCTGTACTTTTCACAGATGAGGGTAGATTTGCTCTAAAATCGCCAGATAGACGTGAAAGGGTGTGGAGAAGGCAAAATATAAGGTACCAAGCCTGTAATTGTTCCCTGGGTCAGTCTTTTCAACGTCCCTCAGTGATGGTGTGGGCAGGAATTTCAAAGGAGAGTCGGACAGAGTTGGTTATTGTTTGTGGATGGTCTTTGACGCCCACTGCTATGCGGATGAAATTTTAGAACTTCATGCGTCGCCTATCCTCGATGAAATCAGCGACAATCCTATTCTAATGCAGGATAATGCCCGTCCATATGTAGCTCGCATAGTACAAACCTACCTTCAACAGAATAACATGGGGGTTTTAGCCTGGACGTTCTACACACTTGAACCACATCGAACATTTATGGGATAACATCAAACTCCGAATAAGAGAACGTCCATCACTTCCTGATACACTCCACGACCTTGAAAGGTCGTTTCGTGAAGAATGGGAATACCTCCAGCATAGAAACATGGTAAAAAGTATGCCGAGGCGTTTTCGAGATAATTTTTCTTTTAAGAGGAATTTACATTTTTTTTTAATTTTTAAACATAAACTCAATTATTAAACTTTAAAAACGTAAAACTTTGATTAATATATAAAAATATAAACAAATCAAGTTATATTACAAATGGGTGGAATTTTTTGCTTGTGAATGTATATTGATAATTTTCTTTTCCGTTTTATTTTATTTTAACAACCGTTTCATCCCAGAAAAGACATGAAACGATGAGGAGATCCGTAAAATTTTAAATTCCCTTGACATTGTTTTCATATTTTAATCGTTACTGAACCAATCAAGTACACATTATCCTGTAAATCATTGGACTTTTTTCCCATGCCAATCTTTCTAACGAAACCACCGTTATCCCACTACACCGTCCTTGTATGCTTTATCCCTACGAACTTATTCCGATTGATTATTATGAGAATCTTTACCTCTTAGGTATTTCTCATGTCAGTCAAGAAAGATTCACAAAAGTCGGAAATATGAGAGAAATTTTCTCAACTACTGTTTACTGTTTTCAGATGTATTTTGTACAAGTATTTTCTTGTTCGGTTGCATCGTACAGTTAAAATTAAATTTGTTTTTCTTTTTCTAACATATAATCTAATGTTCTCCTATTGCGTACAATTTAATTATACCACGATACACGATAAAAACACAATAATATTTTAGTGTTTCCGACTAAGGAAATAATTTTAAGGTCAATATTTTGGGTATAAATTATCTCCGACTATAATCAAATTTTACTTGGTTAGTACATGTCCTGATTTTCGTAACATCTGTGATCGTCTGTTAGGACCTCGATCCAATAAAACATCAATTTTTTTAAAAATTATGATTCTACTCAGAATTTTGTCGTTTACAACGATCCGGATTTCAGTTTTGAACCTGGTTGAAGGAGTTAAAAACAGGTATTTCGACATGAATTGTAAACCCACCACCGTTCCATGAGAAGCTAGTTATTATTGTAATTTCAAGAAGAAATTTGGTCAAATAGACCACTAAGCATAATGGAATCAGTTATTAATGCTGCTCAATCTCGAACGTGCGAAAAACAAAAATTACAACACAACTAAAATACAAGGTGGCCCCAAATAATAGGACAAAAATTCAAAATCTTATAGAAAATTGAACGCCGAGTAAAAAGGGTCCTAGAAACCTGGGTCGGGAAAGCCTTCAGTACAGAGCTAGGGTTAAACACCCAAGGAAAAACATGTTTTCTGACCTGATTTGTGAAGTAGTAAGTAAACCGCTATTATTACCTTAAAACAACACGAAACGACATTTATACCGGATTTATTTCAGCGTCGAATGAGACTAAAACCAGCCTGATTAGTTGTGAATTATAATTTTCGTGATTTTTCAACTAGAATAGAAGAATAGGAGCCGGTAAACCCATATAAATTTTCAATGTATGAGCTTTTTGATTCGGGAAAACTGGTTTATTTGTGTCTAAATTACAAGTGAAAAGTTAATGCCGTTTTCAATGGGATACAAATTTCTCTCTCCCTTTATCGCTCTCTATATTTGAATGAAGATTTATAAATTTTCAATGTATGAAAAGTGTTTTTCATTCCGAAAAGTGGCTTAATATTGTCTAAATTGAACGTAGAATAATAGTCATTAAATTCACTATTTTTCGTGGTCCGATTGACCAATTAATATCATTCAATTAATTAAGGTTTTAAGTTGAGATAAAATGTCAGTGTCACGAGCGGGATTCGAACCCACGACCTTCGGCTTGATACGCCGCTAGTCTACCACTTGATACACCAACTTCCCATCTCAACCGCACCTTTTGACTTTTCCCTCCTTTTTGCCATTTTTCAAATGTCGTGTAATCTATTTGATTCTCGGCGACTAGTGAAATGGCCACGGAGAGCTTTAGTGAAGTATACTTCATTTTAATTCATTAAATTCACTATTTATCGTGGTTCGCTTGACCAATTAATATCATTCAACTAATTAAGGTTTTAAGTTGAGATAAAAAAGTCAGTGTCACGAGCGGATCGAAGTCACGATAGCTCAAGTGGTAGAGTAGCGGCGTATCATGCCGAAGGTTCGAATCCCGCTCATGAAAGTGACTTTTTTATCTCAACTTAAAACCTTATTTAATTGAGTAGAATAATATATTAAAAGTTAATGTCTTTTTGATGTGATCTCTCTTTCTCCCTCTCTTCCTCTCTCTTACACACAAAAAGAGAGAAGTGTATGACTGTAAAGTATCGATATAAATATTTAAACATAAAAATCTTTTACTAAACTTTCTTTCTGATTTGTCACGCTACTCTAAGAATTTCTGTAGGCTGTTGAGAATTACAAACGAACAGTTAGGTACCGAAAAATCTTAATGGATCGTAATGAACTTCCAAAAGTGGCATGTTCAGTCTTTGATTGTATTAATTATTCAAAAATATACTTTTGTTGTTCTCTTTTTGTACAAGAAAAATGAGAAATATCTGGTCCAGAGGATGTGTTGGCAAGGCTTGTGTTTTTTTTGGCAACTTCTTAAGTATAGATCCGGTGACATCGTCATACCTCTTTGGAGGGGGGGGGTCTTTTTTGCTGACACTTTATTGACAGCGACTCAATACTTAAGAGCGAGCGTTTATTTTCTACACGAGATATGGTGTAAAAAAAGTCTGAGGTGAGATAAAACTTCACGTATAATATTTATGATAAAATCATGATTAGTGATCTGATTCGAGATCCTTAGTCTAGAAAAAATCTGTTTGAATATTTTTCCACATTTATTCGTTCAGTTTATCGTGAAAAAATAAATGATATGATTTATTGTTTTTTCCTGTACAAACTTGCCTGACATAGAATGAGAAATCGATACTTGGTATTGTGCATACATAATTCAGATTGTCTCGAAACAAAAAAATTTTATGTTTTTTTAATTCCTGTTTAATATTGAACATAGGGGAATGTCTATTTATTATATATCGTCGCTTGTTCGATATATTTATAAGTTTGCGTTACGGCTTAAATATTAATAACCGAGGCCGAGAGGAGGGTTATTACAGACGCTTTTTGTTGT